AGTATCAGTCAGGTGGTTGCAAAAGTGGTATCAGCTGTATTTTTAACTTCAGAGGGTTTCTTCCTCCCTGCATTTATATTTTATAAAAAATAAACCCCATCCTTTGTGTTGCAGTCGTGTCTGAGTCACTGAAAACTCCCCAAATAGAAATAGACTGCATTTTAAATTTGCAGCTAAAAATACAGAAAGTTGTCACTTAAGATTCTCACATTTGATTACACATTTGCGACAGAAAAACAAAACAGAACTGAACAGAACAGGTTCACATCACTAGCACAGTATTTGTAGGAGCCAAAATGCTTGTTTTTATTGATCTTTGCAAGAAACCCAACACAGTGTTGTGTTGGGCTGGCCCAAGTGTTGTGTTGTGTTGAAGTGGTTTTTTATCTCCACTTATCATATCTGCTTTTAAGGAACAAGAGAAAGGCAACATATTCTTATCAATATTCTTATCTTAATTCTTTAAAAACTAGTCCAGGGTCAGAATCGAAATACTTAGACAATTTAATTTTAGTTCCTTTTAGTTTTATTTTTCAAACAAAACAAAACTACTACCAGCCTGTTCCAACCTCTGTAAGTACTATGAAGGTAGATATGTTGCAAACCTTGAAAATTGCACATTTAAAGCGACAGGCCCCTGATAATGGTATTAAGGCATTTGTTAATGGCCTTCTTCACAAACTATGAGCTGTGAAAGTTGTGAGAGGATGTCCAGGACACGAGAGGTGATTTGATGTCAATAAAATAAAAAATTAGAAATCTATTGAGATTATAACCTTGAAATGTGCTTATTTAAGGCAATATGTCATTGATAATGATGATTTGCAGAGTTATTTTTATTTTTATTTTGTATTCATTGGTCTGACATGTTAAGGGCTGTCACCTTCTATAATACCTACAAGTACAAATTTGTTTTGCTACAGACGTCTTGCAAATGTGTTGCAAAACTCAAGCAGCGCAGATTCACGCGAGAAAAGTAGTTTGTGCAGTTGTAGCGGCAGATTCGAGAAGTTGGATAATAGGCACCAGTAATAAAAACAAAAATCTGAGTAAATTATGATTTTTGCAAACAAGTTAACTTTTTTTCCCTTCAAGTTCTCACATCACGTTCTACAAGTTCTCACATCACGTTCTACAAGCTCTCACATCACATTCTACAAGCTGTCACATCACATTCTACAAGTTCTCACATCACATTCTACAAGTTCTCACATCACATTCTACAAGCTCTCACATCACATTCTACAAGTTCTCACATCACATTCTACAAGCTCTCACATCACGTTCTACAAGCTCTCACATTTTGCAACATATCTACCTCCATAAAATACTAGGTTCCAACCATAGACTGTAAATATTACAGTATGTGTGTATGTATGTTCCAACCGGTTCCAACACTGGCCAAATGCTTGATTTGAACATAAGCCCTGCCTCTGACATGGCCAAAAGCCAATCATTGTTTAGGTTCCTGGCAACCCCTCTGGACACGCCCCTGTTTGCTATGGATTGTGGGATTAGTGGTTCCTTGACTCAGGAACAAAATAGGCGTCTTTTTCCCCTTGCCTTTTTCTCAGTTTTTTTATGCAGTTTTTAAAGCTGTAATGTCAAATGTTTTATAGTTTCATCTTGTGTCTTGGTAACGCGCAAGAGCTTGTGAAATGTTAGTGGAGGATTAGAACGGGGAAATTTTGGACGCTCACTGTTGAGCTCTCTCACACTTTGTTTGTGTCATTGTGAAAATTCAAAGACAAAACTGTGACAAAAACATGTAACAGTTTATAGGCTTTAACATGTCTTTGAAAAATTCAGATTAGGAGTGTTGTACAGCTCTCTATAAACCTCTCTTCTGGTCGATATTCCGTCCTTCCACAAATTAAAGGTACAGTAGAAAATATAGTGAGGAGGACATTCAATCAATGACGGATAAAACACTTTTAGTGAAACCCGAAGGTGGGTGAGTTTCTTTAACGTGTGCAGAAGATAAAAGGTGACTCAGTCTGCATCTCAGCAAAAGGCTAAAAATAAAAAAGGACGAAGGAAGTGTGAGTGTGGGTTTATCAACATGATGGGCAGCTTAAATGAGTCAGGCTGGTTGAGCTCTGTAAAGGCTTTATATGCGATTTTTCACACTTAATTATAATAGATATCAAGTATATCCTCTGAAAATAACTGAGTAATGACTGTCTACAACGGGTGTAACACCCGAGTCCCACTGTCTGTGATATTTTCCGAGTTTTCCGAGTCATATTTTTTGTTTGTTGACATAGCATGAACATGCATTGTTTAGAACAGGCTCCGAAACCAGGAGAGAAAAAGGAAAAAACTTTGATTTAGTTTCATGTTATCTGACAGGATCATTAAACAGTTCTGACGTATACTTGAAGGTCACCAGAAAGAGACGTTTCGCCACTTTACAGACATGAACATCCACTTTGGGGGTGCCGGTGGCGCAGTGGTTAGTGTGCATGCCCTATGTATGGAGGCTATAGACTTCCAAGCAGGCAGTCAGGGTTCAAATCCAGCCTGTGGCTCCTTTCTCACATGTCATTCCCAACTGTCTCTCCCTGATTTCCAGCTCTATCTGCTGTCCTATCTCTCCATTAAAGGCACAAAAAGCCCAAAGATAAATCTTGTGAAAGAAAAAAAAATGAAGGTCCACTATGAAATACAGAACAAACATGAGCTTAAAGCAATGAGAACCTACTGATGTTTTAAAAATACTTTTACAAGTAACAAGGTGATAAGTTTAGAACACACAAACCACAGAGCTAGCTTCAATGTGTGAAGGGTGGAACATCACCTTTGTCATGTGTCATGCAGAGTGTGAAGTGTCGTGTCACGTAACGGATGCTGGTTAGTATTACGCCACACCATCAAAAGCTGTTTTCATGTGCACTCCGGATAATATCTAGATAATTACAGGAGGACTGCTCCGGAGATTCTCCCGACCTTGCCGTTCACATATGTTCCTCACAGCGGGGGACTATCCCTGTCAGAGGGGAGGGGGATCGGGGGATTTGCTGAGGTAAGACGTTACGTAAATAAACAACGCAGAAGTAACGGCCAAAGCAACAGAGTCCACTACAGAACATAATAATGAGAATATTTCTCTTTATATCAATGCTATTTGTAGTCCAATGGAATGAAAACATCCACAAAAGAGAGGAGAACAATATACTGAAGAACAGAAAACATAATGCAGCCATTTAATTACGTGCACGGAGATCGTAGTGGTCGCGTGCAGACACTTTAGGCGGTCACTGTATATAAATGTCATTCTCTTCCCATTGGCTCGAGTTGAAATCTCCGGAGTATATGCTGCCACGGTCAGACATCAGCTCACTCGGACTTTCTGCAGAAAAATACTAGGGGTCTGGCCAGAGAAACTCCGGGTAAAGTCTGCGCGAAAAATGCGGCTGTTTGCGTTCACATATAGCCTAAGGCCCCTCCGGGTAGCCAAATCTCCGGAGTCTTTCAGGAGATTTCAGGAGATGTGTGAAAAGGGTTAATGAGTAAAAAGTTACACTGAGGTCAGAAGTCTTCCTCAACGCACATTTTTAAAATCCAGCCTGACTTTGACTCATAAACTATGATATGTCGTGTTTTCCTCTCTTTAAGATGTGCTAACGTTGTTTTAATGAAAAGTTATGTTTCGTGAACACTGCTGCTAACCATAGCTGTACTTTCAAAGTTAGCTAAAATGCTAACACTTTTTTATGTTGCCAAAATAAATGTAAATGTCAAAAACAAATACCAATTGACATAAATGAGTGTTTCTTCATTACGTATTTGTTTCCTCTTTGAAAACCTTATAATTTATTAAAAGTTGCACTTATTTATTTCCATGTTATGATGATAAACTGTTACAGGCTAAACGTCTCCTCTGCTCTTCACCACCACTGATGAACGAAGACGACTATATACAAACCCAATCCATTCAAGTATCCATCTTTATTTCCCTCCTTCATTTTCCTTCTTTCTATCCGTACCTTCCCAAAGCCTCCTGTGGACAGGTGTTGCATATGAGCATTTTGCTATAAACACTAAGAGCAGTGCATCTATGACTTGTGTGTGGTTAAATGTTACAGATACAATGTTTTTACTGTATGTCCATGTCAAATAAAGAAAGAAAACATTTCGCCTCGTAGGAACAGAAAAAGGAATGTTTTTATTTACAGGTCATTCATTTCTTTTAAAAAAACATATAATGACGTGGGAGGCCCTTCACTCTGCGTTTCCACTTAGATATGTGTCCGGTGTCCGTAGATACGTAAATATACGGATGATTCCTCCTTGTGTCCAAACGCAAGGACGTGCAGTTCTTTACAGATGTATAGAAACCTGGCAGAAGATACCTGAAGCCATGGGGGAGGGGCTAATTGTGTTCGTTTAAACAAACTGACAAAGAGGATGACAGCTGACAAATCTGACAGTACTTAATACAAAACTGATAAAGACATTTTATATAGGGGAGGAGTTTCGCAGGCACATCAGATAGCACAGAGATTCCCATAGGAATGAATGGACTTCCATTTGACTTGAAACCAAGCAACAACCTCTGGTGTTGAACAATGAAGCCTGTAGTTTCTCGAGTGTCCACTAGAGGCTGGCTGCAGAAGCACAGGAAGTCACATACACACCCATTCTAAAACGCCTGTTTTTACAGCAGAGATTAACATGTTTACAGCCCGGTTCAAAAAAACAAATAGGTCTGATTAGCTCATGTCTCGATCGACACACACTGTACGGGGGGTGAATGTTTTGATGACCTATAGGTTTTGATTTGATGAAGGATAAGAGTTATTCACATTAAGGCGTGTAGCTGACCTGATTGACAGGCGGGCGCGGTGTAACGGTTTGTCAGGAGGCTTAAAACCCGCCTCAGCTCCAGCTCTCAGCCTGTCGTGAGATTGACTGAAAGTTAGACTGAGACAGCATTTCCAGCATGGAGACCGCCATCGATGGGACTTCAGTGTCCCCTGCAGGAACAGACGGGTCACTCAGGCTTCAAACTTTATTATTTACAGTCTCTAGTGGAAACAAGGCACCAACTCTTGAAGAAGCAGGTTTTATCGACAACTGAAGAATTTTCCGCTCAAACTGCAGACGTCACGTCGTTGTTGTTCTCGGGTGTTTCAGGTTTCTTCAGTAAAAAATATGGGCTTTCATTCGACTGCATCAAATCTGCAAATGGAAAAGAATAAGTCTTGTCTGTTTGGCAGGTTCATTTGGTGGGATTTAGATTTAGAATCTTGAAACCTAAATATGTTTCCCACATTTAAGGAGCAAACTGTTACCTGTGTAATCTCTACCTAACGTGTCTCCGATGCAGGAGTAAGGGGACTCATTAGGTAGAATTGTGTCTGCAAGAAAACATGACAAAATATTCTATATTTTACCAGGAATATTTGGTTTAACAAACATTTTTAGTGTAAACGTAAAAGTGTTACCAGTTGGCTTCTCCATCAGAGGAAGCTCAGAGATGGTGGAATACGTGGGATCATTTTGGTTTAATCTGTCTAAAAAAATTAACCAACAAGCATTATTATACAGAACCAGCTAACATTAACTTATACGGCTTCTTTTTACACCAAGGTTTTTTAAAACCAAAGCTTGCTTTACACAGCTGACTGAGCTTTGTTTTGTTTTTTCCATCACTGCTGCAACATTCTTGGTCATCCCAGAAACAGCAAGTTTGTCTTTCTCTATAAAATAAAAATAACTTTTCTCACCATTTTTTGGCTGAAACAATACATCCGGTATTTCTTCATAAATAGCTTCTTCTTTTTTACCTGCAAAGAAAAAGGCGGGCACAACAGGTAATCTGGACTAAATCGGACTTTAAGATGAGGAAAAATGCAACGGTTTTTCTTTTTCTATAGAGTTCAAAACCAGCTTAAGTAAGATGAACTCTTGCTTTATGAGCATGTTGTAGACTTACTGTAAACTTACTGCTTTAATGAAAGGATTGATGTCGCTCATAATTAAGAGATTCATTTAAGCAGTCTGATTATAAACCCCCTTCTTGTTGCAAAGTGGTAGGACGTTTTTAAAGCTTTTGTGGGTGCCACATGGCCTCTTTTGTCTGATGGCCGAGAAGGTCAATTTGAAGTGAGTTTTTATTTCATTTTATTTGCATTCATGTCTTTTTGTGTATTTTAACGTGAAGGCGTAGTAAAGCTTAAATCTGAGCCGAGCTCCCAGACGGTCGGGATTCATTTGGATCTCCAAACATCCAACAACTGATCGTGAAAGTGAGTTTCGTTTGCTGCTCTGCAAGGAAAAATACAAAAAGACAGGCATGGCCCAATTTGGGGCTTGTCGCAGATATGTCCAAATAATCCTGAAGTGTGTGCCACCACGATTATTTGACTGCTCCCTGTCCAGGATGTTGTGTATTTTTTGCATTTTGCACACATGGCATTAAGCACCTTTACCGTCTTCTCGGCCAGAATTTCATCCAGATTCTTTTTCTCGTTTTTTTATTTGGATCGTCCCCCGTTTTTGTTCTTCTTCTGTATTGTGTAATTATATTTAAATATCTCATATTCTGCTATCTCATATTTATAGACAATATTGTTAACAAGAAGCATTAATTTACCTCCTTTTTTAAATCTTCTTTTTTTACAATAGACAGTGACTATAATGATGAGGATAATGATGAGGATGATGATGAGGACGGTGATGAAGATATACATCCATAACTCCAAAGTGTCTTTGGAGTCTGAAAAATCAAATCAGAATGAATTACTCAAATTCGATCGATGGTACACAGAGCAGGCTCTTTTCATTCAGTATTTGAATAATTATTAAAGTAAAACATAAAATAACAAAACACTAAAAACTTTACAAGTCAGACTTGTTGGTTCTATGTTTTCTGAGCCATGAGATGTTCGAACCGTCGTGATGGTTAATTTGAAACACTTGTTTCTTTACCTGAGTCTGTCGATTGTGTTGAGTTTAAAGTTGTCGTTAAAGTTGTTTCTTGTGGCTTCCATCCTTTTAGTTTGTGGGGAAAAAGAAAACAGATTTTGTAATATTTTAATCAAAGACTAGATTCACATTTTCACGTTGCAGTCAAACACTTCAATCAAAATATATCACAGAACAGTTTGACCACTTTGAAAAATGTATCTAAGAATCTAATCAGGCTTTACTGTTTTAATTCAACAACAGTGTGACTAAACCTGTATGGATGTAATTTGATATTTTTTTTATGCTGATACTTTTGAAAAATGGAGAGAGGTTAGAACGCAGAAAGGTTTACAGACCGATGCAGAGCTGGCTAAACACTGAAGCTTCAGTGTCCATCACATGGCAACCTGCCAGGAGGGGGCGGGGGGAGACAGCTCTCTACAATGTTTTAGTTTGGACTGCAGTACTCATTTTAAACAAGGTGCCAGAGTTACATACTGCTCCTTTAAGGACGAGTAGTACATCAACTAAAGTAGCTTTGATAAGTCTTAATTTTCTGATTTCTAAAATGTAATCTTGACTCAAGAAGGTTATGAAAGAATTCTTAAATAAAACTTTTTTTAATGACAATATTATAATCAGGGTCAACTTACTCTTATTGTCCTCATCTGTGGATTTGTTGTTGGACTTTTCTTTCTTTGTCGTTGCCATGTTACTGTTTGCCGTTGTTGTTAATGGAACAGTTGTTGCTGCTGCTGTCTGTCTTGTAGGTGGTTTAGTGATTTTAGCCTTGTGACCTTCAGTGTTAAACAGAAAACAGTTATAATACAAGAAACAGAAAAGAACTCTCGCTCAGAGGATCACAGGCTGAACGTGAGAAATTTAAAAAAGCTGCGGTCTTTTTTTTTTTTAGATGTGTCAAATATAAAGTTTTCTCACGACTTGGACCAGTTGAATGAAGAGGCTAGTGTAATAATAATAATACTACAGAAAAATGCACATCAAATCAACTTGATGCCAAGAGCTCAGCTACACATCGGCTGGAGTTTTCTAACAATCTACACTTTAATAGTTTGCTCTTTTGTTTGTTTGTTTGTTTTGTTGAGAGATCAGAAAGAGTTATGCAATTGTTGAATTTTTTGTTTGTTTTTGTTTTATTATCATTTAATTCTTTCATCATTTAATACATAGGTCATAAAGTCATAACCTTTTTCTGCTTTCAACATCTTGAAAAAAGAGAGAGATTTTGGCTATAAAAACCCTATAGAAAATCTGATCGGGGTTCCTTTTTGCTTTGCAAAATGAATCCACGTCACTCTGACTTTTGAAATCCCATTTTGGGACTTAGTCTCTGAGCCAAGATCTTTTAAAACCTCAAGTGTCTACACTCACAGGTTTAGACTTTGGTCTTTGTGTTTTGTTTTCCTTTTCCATTTTTTATACCTTTTACTTTTACTCTTTTGTATTTGCATTTGGAATATCTTTTGAAAATTTTAATAAATTTTCAGAAACTTTTTGAAATCATTTTCTGACTGAAATCATTTACACCATAAAGACTGGAAGTCCCCCTTAAGGACCCCGTGTACCTCGGAGGTTAAGTTTTGAGCAGTCACACCACGGCACACTTGTCTTACTGATTTATATTACAAACTTCATACACACCTAACATCCTAGCGGAGGGAGTTCACAGTTATTCCCTCTCTGGGGGGTAATCTAGAGTCCTATACCAGGGGTTATCCTTGAATCTAATTATTCTAGAAATGAATGTTAGGCAGATAATCCTGGGGCTGTGATTATAACTTGTTCATCTGTCCTCCAAAGGGTGTTAGAGGAGTAATTTTACATAGCTCCTTCCACTAGGAAAGAGAAGACAAGCAGGTTAGGAGAAAGTGAGCAGCAGTAGCTCAGTCTGTAGGGACTTGGGTTGGGAATCAGAAGGTCACTGGTTCAAGTCCCAGCATGGACCAAGTCCAGAAATTGGCCTGGTAGCTGGAGAGGTGCTAGTCCACTTCCTGAGCACTGCCAAGGTGCCCTTGAGTAAGACACCTAACCCCCCCACCAGCTCAATAGCACCCACTGCAGGCAGCCCCCTCACTCTGAGACCTCTCCATTAGTGCATGTCCATAGGATCCTGTTCATGTGTGTGTATTTTGGCCTATGTTTGTGTAGCATGTTAACTAGACAGAGTGTGAAAATGAATTTCCCCTCACGGGATCAATAAAGTATACATTATTATTATTATTTAGTTCTAGGAAAGAGTAGTCTAGTTAACTAATGGGTGGTGGTTTTTGCATGTCCAGGGCATGCAACAGTTTACATTAAGGTCTTGTGATGGGCATCGTTTTGTCAGCAGTGTGGTTACTAGGACCCGACTCAGTTTTTAAAAATATGTACGATAGTTTTAAGTCAATTGCTCTGTAGACGGAAGAGTATGTGCACATGCTCTGTTGTTTCATTACACAGTTACAACTACTACACCAACTACTGGCCTGGCATGAACACTGCAGGGTTTTTAGTTGTTTTGAGGATGCGTGTGAGCAGCGGTTATCAAAATGTCGTCTGAACGCAGAACTTTTTTTGAAAACACCAACTTATAACGATTCAGTTTTCAGTGGATTGTTTTTGCGTAAACATCTCTTTAATGACATTATTAAAATCAGGGGCAACTTACTATTATCCTCGTCTTCTGTGGATTTGTTCTTGGACTTTTCTTTCTTTGTCGTTGCCATGTTACTGTTCGCCGTTGTTAATGGAACAGTTGTTGCTGCTGCTGTCTGTCTTGTAGGTGGTTTAGTGGTTTTGGCCTTGTGACCTTCAGTGTTAAACAGAAAACAGTTATAATACAAGAAACAGAAAAGAACTCTCGCTCAGAGGATCACGGGCTGAATGTGAGAAATGAAAAAAAGCTGCGGTCTTTTTTTTTTTTAGATGTGTCAAATATAAAGTTTTCTCACGACTTGGACCAGTTGAATGAAGAGGCTAGTGTAATAATAATAATACTACAGAAAAATGCACATCAAATCAACTTGATGCCAAGAGCTCAGCTACACATCGGCTGGAGTTTTCTAACAATCTACACTTTAATAGTTTGCTCGTTGCTACTGTTTGTCTTGTAGGTGGTTTTGTGGGTTCAGCCTCGTTCCCTTCAGTGTTAAACAGAAAATAATGTGTGTCTTTATATATCGGCCGATATTAGCATATTGCTTGACTATGGTGTAGCAGACAGGGTGCAGTCTGCATCCAGCTGCACAGCAGAGGGCTGTGAGGAAGGGGTGTGGCCTAGGAGAGGCAAATTGATGATTGTTTGCACCTGAGAGGGAGAGTGTGTGTGAGAGGAGACAGAGGATTGCTGCACAGTAGAGTGTTGGACAACTGGAGAAGGAGGGTTCAGGCTGCTTGAAATGTTCTTGGATGCCAAACAATTAAAGGAGAGGAGCGTTCATAAAAACCTAGAGTGGGCAGATTGTTTTGCCTTCTTTGCTCTGGAGGTATGGACTGGAGCTTCGTAGATGATCGGGCAGTTATGAAATTATCATTGGAGTGGTAACGCTGCAACCCCTCTCAGGAACAAAAACCTGGACAGGTGATATCGTCTCACTCTCTCTCTGTGTTACCTCACCTCAAGACTTCCCCTGCTTCTGGTCTCCAATCTCTCCTTCCCCCCAGCCCAAACAGCCGCTCACACACCTTCACACACCCTCAACCCCTCTCTTTCTTTAATATTTATATTTTTTATGAGAACATTGGACTGGTTTAAATCTTTGTTTTTGATGAACTTTAAATATGAAATATTTCTGTTGTCCTGAATGTATGTTTAATGTACAAAAAAACTTTGATTTAATTGTATTTCGTAGCGTGGTTTTGTGTTGAATTTAGGTGGGAATACGTGCTATTCACCCTGAGACTTTTTTGACAGACTCCTGCTCGATTTCAGTTACGCTACAATGGGCATCGGCTAATTGTATCTCAGACATGCGCCGATATTACAGATATCTTCAAGAGTCAAAAAGCATTTCATTTGAGTATCTTTGTGTTACACTAGCAGTTCTCTGTCACCAGCAGAGGGCGCTATATGGATTACAAAAAGCATCATCACTCTTGAGCGGTGATGCACGTACATGAACAGATACTTTCCAGTTTAGTGACCATCTTGTCTTAATTATTAATCTTTTCTACAAGTGTTTGATAACTGCATTTGTGGGATCAACTCAAAAAATGTGTTATCTATCTCTAAACAAATCAACAAAGATATCTGTCGATAGATCGGTATCAGATTTTTTTTTTTTTAAAGGGTCAGAGGTCTGATCAAGAGGAAGCTTACATGGAGTTAAAAAAAACAATATCGGTGAGTCTGGGGAAGTCAAACAGGATAAATATGAGAGGTATCAATGTCCTCATATGTCTAAATATCTGTGACAAAAAGGTGAAAAGGTAGATTACTAAGAATCTGTCTGACTTTTAAATAACTTCTCTTAACTTCTTCCCTAATGATGTGTTCCTCTCACCTCTGTCAGACGCATCATCTCTGATCACGTTCAGGTACGCAGCAGGTTTTCCACCGCAGTAGTAAAGTCCAGAGTCAGCAGCATTCACTTTTTTTATTGTCAACGTCTTTTTAGCTTTTGAAACATTAAACCGTCTTTGTTGTTGTATGTCTACAACATCTGTCCACCATCCGTGATCGTCTGAAACATCAGGACATTTCAGAGTGACCCTGGTCCTCTCTATCGCCTTGAGAACGACTGTTCCTGTGCAGAGGAAACAAAACAGGTTTTATTATGAGCTACGATTAATGCATCACGCAGAGTAAAGTCAGAGGATTCTAAACTGTCATTAAATAAAGACTAACAAAGGTAGAAAATATTTTTTTTAAATGACTGGAAAGAAAACTCAAACCCAATTTTTTAAATGAAAATGCACAGTTCTTTCAAATTACTGAAGAGTGTCTGTGATACATGTTAAACTAAAATACAAAATCTGGGCAGAGAAATTGAGTCATGTTGAAAAGTTTTTATCAAAGTTTGATGTTACCTGGTGGGATCACCGTCAGATCCACAGCTGCTTCATCGTTACACAAATATCTTCCATCATCTGAGAATGTTACTTTTTGTATCTGTAGAGATTTATCTGCTAATGAACTGTAATGTTTATATGGGTCTGAAATGTGTTTTGTATCCTTTTCACCCTCAACAGTCATTAAGTCAGTTTTGTTTCCATTCTTCTCTCTGCTCCACTTCACTTTATCCACAGGGTGAGGACAGGGTAAAGCGATTAATTCCTTCTGCTCGACTATTTTATGGATGATTGCTGCAACAGAAACACAACGTTAGATACAAAGACTCGGCTGTCAGGATGTTTGTATTCTTAAAATTGCAAGCAACTAAAATGTGGTTTGAAACCAGTTTCAGAATCACATTTAACTTTCTCTTCATCAAACGCGTCTTTGTGTCATGAACCTCCAACATTAAATCCACCAGACTTCACATGCAGAGGTGGATCATCTTAATGATGCAGCATCAGGTTTAAACATGCACGTTCACGTTTAATGCACGTCCATTGGTGTTTTGACAGACAGTAAGAAAAAACAGCTCAGTCTCTAGGGACTTGGATTGGCGAACCAGAGAGTCGCTGGTTCAAGTCCCGGTGCAGACAGTGGCTGTATCCGAATTGCCAAGTACCTACTCAATCTTTCCGTAGGCAGTAGGCAGTACCTACTATCCGTGCTGTGTACTGTTTAGTAGAGGGGTCTCAAACTCAAACTGGCATGGGGCCACTGGGAGTACTGTCGACTTAAAGGAGGGCCACTACAAAGTTCAAGCACCACAAAAAGGACTTTATTTTTGCAAATGTACTTTTTGTTTCCGCAAAATGTTGTCACACATCACTAATACAAACAGCAGTTTATATACATTTTTCAAAACATCTGCTTTCATTTAGTAGTGCAAGTCTTTTGTGTTTGCTTTATAACTTAAATAACTTAATCAAATAATAAATAAAACCTGCACTGAAGCAAAAAATGCAGTTACTCAAAATACCAATACATTAATCCTGCATTCTATTTCTTGCCTGGCAGCGCTTCTGCTCACACAGATGAGCCACATTTACCTTGACGGAGGTCACAGTTGAAACCCTGAGTATAGCTTCAAGGTGTGCATTACTAAGCCTGGACCTGTACTTGCATTTATTAAACTTCATTGTCGAGAAAAGTTTCTCACACAGATATGTGCTTTCAAAAAGGCACATTACACGACTGAACAATTTGGATAGCTCTGCAAAGGATGCAGGTAATTCTCTTAGAAACTGTCCAGTCAGGTCTGCCTTCCCCTATACCTCTCTGAATTTATTTTTCAGTTCACTGTTACACTGCAGGTCAACAAGTTCCATTTGCAACACACTTGGGACACTCTCAACATCAGCTGAAAGTGCTAAACTTTACTACCTACTGTTCAGTAGGCGCGCACAGTAGGCAGATATTTGTTCCTACTTCATCAGATTCATTCAGTATGGAAGTGACGTCATTTATGTTACCCGAACCGGCCGCATTCACCCTTTTTTTAATTTTATTTTTTTTAGAGTAATGCGCATATACAGTCAGGTAAACAAAAAACAACATCACAAGTCAGACAGACGCATTTAAATAGTGAAATCATTATTTAAATAGAGGGGGAAAGGTTTTATAATAATGCAGATATTTGTTATATTTTCTGTTGTTAATTAAAAGTAGCGATTTCAGTCGGGACTTTAATGCTAGATTAAAAATGTATTTTTTACAGATTAAAAATTTATTTTTAATCTAGAGGAGGCGGACGTGACGATTTACGTTTAATTTCACACAGCATTGTGGGTGGTAAAATACAATTCATTTCCTGAAAGCACGCATCCGATCCATACTGCATGAAATCCGGAAGTTAGTATCCATACTGAAATGTTCAGTATACTGAGGTGGACCCAAAAAATGCATAGTGAATGACCACGGAAGTTCAGTATACTGAAACTCCCTACTGAAAAGTACGTACTGCCGACTGAACTGTGACAATTCGGAAAGTGCCCTAGTCTGGAAGTTGGTCTGGTAGCTGGAGAGGTGTCAGATCACTTCCTGAGTACTGCCGATGTGACCTTGAGCAAGGCACCAAACCCCTGCCCCACCAGCTCAGGAGCGCTTGCCATCAGTGCATCCACAGGATCGTGTGTGTGTGTGTGTGTGTGTGTAGCATGTTCAACAACACAGCGTCAAATGTAATCTCCCTCTAATAATTAATGGAGAATATCTTCTTCATCTTCATACTAAAGAAATCAATGCACTAATCATGTAAATATTAGTCGTTGATATATATTATATTCCACATTTATGTAAATATTGCGGTGTAGGTACGTTACCACTGAATCTATCCGGGCTGTTTTTTTACTTCCTGAAGTAACCTTTCTCACGCTTACATCAGCGGCTCAATTCCTCATGAAAGTTTGATTCACATTTCAGATTCATTTCAACTCAGAAAATTCTACACAAAAGTCTTCACAACACGCTTCAAAGTAATGGTGAGAAACAGGGCAGTCTTACCTGCAGTGAGGTTACAGCTCAGGAGGAAGGCAAACAGGCAGCAGCTGATGATCACCTTCATCTTGGCACTGACTTCTGTCACAAAGTGAGCACAGTTTTTTCTTAGAAGAGAACAGGAACTCGACCGTCTACGTGCCAGCGGGTGTGTGTTCCTCTACCCTAAACACCCACATTAGTTAGTTATAAGAGTGAGTCTGTGACTGTTTCAATCTGTGGTTAATGAGCGCTGAAGTTTCCTCTTCTCTGAATGTCTCACCCACCACACAGTCAGCGCCTCAGGTATGGACTCATAATGAGTGTTTACCTTTCTGAAAGATGTGAAGTCATGTCTTAAAAGTAAAATCGTTATGTGACCAAAGCTGCATTAAATCTGTTGGATGCTGACAGGTCAGGGAAAATGACAACAGACGTGAAAACAATCAACTCAGTCATTGTCAGACACATTAACACCATCATCACTATTACACTTCCACTGAAGTGGCTTTATTTATAACTGCATTGATATTTGTATACCTGATAAAAAGAACAATAAACAAACTAGAGCGTGTGAAACCTGGCAGCTGTGACCTGAAGCAGCTGCAGCTTCCTCTGCTTCTTATGGCCTCTTCCAACTGCAAGCTGCATCTGAGACCCTTGAGCACCACCTACTGGTTAAAATGTGTCAATTCACTCAGACTTTTTCAGTGACCCTGTCCGGAGAACTTGTGCTGAAACCTCCAAAAGTCAACGCAGAAGTGCAAAAACACTGCAGTTCCTCCAGTGTCCACTTTAGACTGGCTCCAAAAACGGAGGATTCCCCATTAGGTCCTATATGTTAAAATGTTTACAGCAGAAATAAACATGTCCACAGCCTGATACAGAAACAGGTTTGATCTCTAGAGCTCATCTCTTAATTAGGGGTGTGGCTGTGTTGACCGACAGGAGAACACGTTGTTGTTTCCCAGGAGGTTTAAGCCCCACCTCGGCTCCGCCTTTTTGCCCGTTTTCCAAATTCATCTAAAGATAAGTAGAGTCAACTTTTCCAATATGGCGACCACCATTTTCTGGCTTCAGTGGGGGTGGGTGACATCACTGAGACTACGTTCATGTTTTGTACAGTCTATGGTAAAACTTGACTGAATTTGGTCAACGTGAAATATTCCTTAAAATAATGTTTCACAAACAGCCAATGTGTTTTCACTGTTAATTACATTAGACAGTAAACAAAGGTCTCGAAAAATGAAGCCAATGCGGAAGTACAAAAAACTGCAGTTCCTCGAGATTCCGCTTGAGGCTGTAAATATGGTTATCTGACGTTATGATGAATGTTATACTCCACGTAAATGTCGACATTAAAAAACAAACTTTGTGTAGTAATTATCCGTCAGTAACATAAACTGAACTCAACTGAACCTAATGTGCTGTGTAGGTTATAGAGGATGACATCAACGTTACATGGTTGATGTAGTGTCTTAAGATTTGTGCAAACTGTTACCACATTTAAAAAAAAATTAACTTTGTATGAGTTCAGTGAAATTTAATATGGTTATTAATATAGTTCTTAATCGTTACAGATGCTCTTCCAAAGAATATAGCAGTAGAAATATAAAAGATATAAATAACATATGGAATGAAAATAAGATATAAAGTATATATATTTGGGCTGGGCAACGATTAAAAGTTTTAATCGCGTTAATTGCATGAGTTCCTGTGATTAATCACGATTAATCGCATTGTTATACGCAAAATCCAATAATGAATTCAAAAGTAGTGTATAACGCACTTTTATTGTAAATGTACTTCTCAACTTAAACAATGTAATCAAAGCAAATAAATACAAAACTAAAGCTTATTGCCACTGCAAGGGCATAATGTCATTCTCTTTGTTATATCTAAAAAAAAACTGCCCAGAAAGGTTTTAGGCTAAGCGGTATAATGAAAATGTCAGGACGCCATTTTTAAAGTGGGGGAGAGTGTGACAGGTCAATTGAGAACATTGATGTTTATTGTTTGGTTATCGGGGACCCCACAAACACATTTTTGTTGTACTTGTCATTTTGAAATTCTTTAGTTTAAAATCTTTTTTGAATTCATCTTCAAAGTTGCTAATGTTAATGTATTTTTCTGAACTGCAACATTATTCAAGCAGTCCATGTTGACATGTTATTAATTAAATGCGCTGCATAATCTACACCACTAGGTGGAGTCTGTGAGTGAGAAACAGTGACATGCAGGAGTTCAGAGAAGAAGAGTGTTGTTGTTGTGATACTCCGGAGTTAGCAAGAAAGCTGTTGTTATTATTCAGCAGCTGAAGAGACTCTTAGGCAGAGTGAATGAAGGTACTGGGTCTTTGTTAAACGCTTAAATGAAGTGAAGACAAGTGAAACGACCTTTCAGCGTCCGCCTGAGTTTCTGGCTGCAACATATTTTGGAGTACTTATCAAGTACTCCGGTGATAAGAAAATTCAACTTCGCAGTGGTTACAAATAACTTCGGCTCTGTGGACTGCGCCGTCTGGAAGAACTTTAAAATGAAAATGGCCATGTAAAAGTTCCGTACCCTTCTCCATGCTTGATTATCCGCCAAAAGCAACATACTAGGCTCACGATGGAATTTTACAAAATAAAAACCAGTGAGCAAAATACTTTTACAATAAGAAAATAACTAATAAAAACTGCGTTAATGCGAGATAAAATAATTGTCGGCGATAATTGATTAATTAGTTAACGCGAAAATAACGCGTTAACGTGCCCAGCCTTAATATATATATATATATATATATATATATAAAGTACAAGAAATAGTTTAAGGATACAGCCATGTATCGAGCTCATGTTAATAATAAATGTATTTATTTAAGTTACTGTATGTTCTGTACTGAAGCACAGAGAGTTGGGACCTGTTAATGATTTAAATAATTCAGGTAATATTTGTTTCATGTAAAGATGAAGTACTATCCACAATAAACTGCTTAATTTTTCCTCACACAAAATCTGAGGCAATTTGATGTGGAATATCATTGTGTGAGTGAGAGAGCTGAAAACAGCATGATTACAATAAGGTTTATCTTATTAACTTTGAATAGATGTTGATTACCTGAATACTGTACCTTTGTTGTCTGGGTAGTACACTGTTGAATTTATAAATGTGCTCTTACACACAGATGAATACAGAAAAATAGATGAGAACAAACAAATGATTTAATGAATAACTGATATTTTCTCTCTTTCTTTGCCATCCTGAAGACCCCTCACTAAAAGTCCATGTTCTCCAGGATCCATGTCACATGCTCGAGCTTCTTCAGAATGACATTTCAACAGTCGAAGTTCTGCTGAGAGAAGATGGCCAGCAGATAAGACAGCAGCACATGAAGGAGCTCCACAAGCTTCAGAAGAAGGAGGAGGGTTTGCACTTTGGAAGACTGTATTCATGCTGTTCAAATAAAAATAGATCTCCTCCAAACAACTTGCAATCAAACCCTTTTCTTCCCTATTTGAAACCCTTTGTCCAGTTTAGATGGGAGAAGTTGATATTATGTGATATTATCTGTTATTGATCTTATTTACTCTTGATGTATCTTGATTTAAGAATGGGGCTGTGTTTAAGGGCAAATTTAGCAATGACTCTGTTCCATCCCATTTTAAGAAATGAACTACATTAGTATTTGGTAAAAAAAAAATGTCAAAAGAATAAAAAGTTGTGTAAAAGTAGACTTCCTTCCCTTAGCTATTGAGTTGAGCATTAATGCACATTTTAGTCTTGTCATTTCAAATCTGAAATGTATACTCATAAGTAGACACAAAGGAGTGCATTTATATAGAAATATTTATTTAATCTGAAAAACCACATTCAAAAAGTCTGTTTTTACAGCAGAGATGAACATGTTTACAGCTTGGTACAAAAAAACAAATAGGTCTGATTAGCTCATGTCTCGATCGACACACACTGTACGGGGGGGGTGAATGTTTTGATGACCTATAGGTTTTGATTTGATGAAGGATAAGAGTTATTCACATTAAGTCATGTAGCTGACCTGATTGACAGGCGGGCGCGGTGTAACGGTTTGTCAGGAGGCTTAAAACCCGCCTCAGCTCCAGCTCTCAGCCTGTCTTTAGGTTGACTGAAAGTTAGACTGAGACAGCATTTCCAGCATGGAGACCGCCATCAATGGGACTTCAGTGTCCCCTGCAGGAACAGACGGGTCACTCAGGCTTCAAACTTTATTATTTACAGTCTCTAGTGGAAACAAGGCACCAACTCTTGAAGAAGCAGGTTTTATCGACAACTGAAGAATTTTCCGCTCAAACTGCAGACGTCACGTCGTTGTTGTTCTCGGGTGTTTCAGGTTTCTCCAGTGAAAAATATGGGCTTTCATTCGACTGCGTCAACTCTGCAAATGGAAAAGAATAAGTCTTGTCTGTTTGGCAAGTTCATTTGGTGGGATTTAGATTTAGAATCTTGAAACCTAAATATGTTTCCCGCATTTAAGGAGCAAACTGTTACCTGTGTAATCGCCACCTACTGTGTCTCCGATGCAGGAGAAAGACAAACGTGCTGTTTCTGGGATGACCAAGAATGTTGCAGCAGTGATGAAAAAAACAAAACAAAGCTCAGTCAGCTGTCTAAAGCAAGCTTTGGTTTTAAAAAACCTTGGTGTAAAAAGAAGCCGTATAAGTTAATGTTAGCTGGTTCTGTATAATAATGCTTGTTGGTTACATTTTTTAGACAGATTAAACCAAAATGATCCCACGTATTCCACCATCTCTGAGCTTCCTCTGATGGAGAAGCCAACTGGTAATACTTTTACGTTTATACTGAAAATGTTTGTTAAACCAAATATTCCTGGTAAAATATAGAATATTCTGTCATGTTTTCTTGCAGACACAATTCTACCTAATGAGTCCCCTTACTCTATAAAATAAAAATAACTTTTCTCACCATTTTTTGGCTGAAACAATACATCCGGTATTTCTTCATAAAGAGCTTCTTCTTTTTTACCTGCAAAGAAAAAGGCGGACACGACAGGTAATCTGGACTGTACTAAGTCGGGCTTTTAAGATGAAGAAGAATGCAACAGTTTTTCTTTTTCTTTTGAGTTCAAAACCAGCTGAGGTAAGATGAACTCTTGCTTTATGAGCATGTTGTAGACTTACTGTAAACTTACTGCTTTAATAAAACGTTTGATGTTATGGGGCGCCGATTGTAAAGTTGCGCACACTACAAATAACAACAACATTTCTCCACATTCAGCCCTAAAACATTACTTTTTATTCACATTTAGAGAAATATTTGTGAACTTTGTGATATTTACTTTTGTGAATAAAAATGTAAGATAATTTCATTGGCAAATATAAATGTTAAACATTATATCTAAATGTTGAATGTTTTAACTAAATGTTAAATGTTGTATATGAATGTTAAAAATACATGTCCTGATTCTAAATATTTAGCTACGTTTCTAAACATTTAGCAACGACTTCTAAATATTTAGCTTTGATCCTATATATTTACCTAAGATTGTAAATATTTATAAACAAAGCTAAATATATAGAATATACACAAAATATTTAGCAACGACTTCTAAATATTTAGCTAATATGCAAATTCACTCTACCGCCCACCAGAAGCACCAAAATAAAAGTTTGAGGAAGCGATCCAACCATTGTCTCCTACAGGAGACTGGCGGGATTTTGAAAATGTCCAACGAATTAGAAGGGCCGTTTTGGCCGCAATTCAGAGTTTTCAAAGCACTGGGCGGTAGAGTGAATTTGCATATTAGCTAAATATTTAGAAATCGTTGCTAAATATTTAGAAATCAAAGCTAAATATATAATAAGCCAAAGCACTACTTCTTCGGTGTCAGCCACAGGATCTTCCACAGCGCCATCACAGCACTTGGTACGTTTACAAAGTAGTGCTTTGAAAACCCTGAATTACGGCCAAAACGGCCCTTCCAATATTCTCCGCTAATTTGTTCAACATTATCAAAATCCCGCCAGTCTCCTGTAGGATACAATGGTTGGATCGCTTCCTCAAACTTTTATTTTGGTGCTTCCGGTGGGCGGTAGAGTGAATTTGCATATTAGCTAAATATTTAGAAATCGTTGCTAAATATTTAGAAATCGTTGCTAAATATTTAGAAATCAAAGCTAAATATTTAGAGTCTTAGCTAAATATTTAGAAATCAAAGCTCAATATTTAGAGTCTTAGCTAAATATTTAGAAGTTGTTGCTAAATATTTAGAATGTAAGCTAAATGTTTAGAAACGTAGCTAGAAAGGAGGGGGCGGGGGGCGGGGGGAGTCAGCTCTCTACAATGTTTTTTAGTTTGGATTGCAGTACCCATTTTAAACACTAGGTGTCAGAGTTACATACTGCTCCTTTAAGGATGGGTAGTACATCAACTAAAGTAGCTTTAATAAGTCTTCATTTTCTGATTTCTAAAATTTAATCTTGACTCAAGAAGGTTATGAAATAATTCTTAAATCAAACTTTTTTAATGACAGTATTAAAATCAGGGTCAACTTACTCTTATTGTCCTCATCTTCTGTGGATTTGTTCTTGGACTTTTGTTGCTTTGTTGTTGCCATGTTACTGTTTGCCGTTGTTGTTAATGAAACAGTTGTTGCTGCTGCTGTTTGCCTTGTAGGTGGTTTAGTGGTTTTAGCCTTGTGACCTTCAGTGTTAAACAGAAAACAGTTATAATACAGGAAACAGAAAAGAACTCTCACTCAGAGGATCATGGGCTGTGCATTTTGGTTTAATCTGTCTAAAAAATGTAACCAACAAGCATTATTATACAGAACCAGCTGACATTAACTTATAAGGCTTCTGTATACACCAATGTTTTTTAGAACCAAAGCCAGATTGGACCTTGCTTTAGACAGCTGACTGAGCTTTGTTTTGTTTTTTCCATCACTGCTGCCTTTATATCTTTACAACATTCTTGGTCATTCCAAAAACAGCAAGTTTGTCTTTCTCTATAAAATAAAAATAACTTTTCTCACCATTTTTTGGCTGAAACAATACATCCGGTATTTCTTCATAAAGAGCTTCTTCTTTTTTACCTGCAAAGAAAAAGGCGGACACGACAGGTAATCTGGACTGTACCAAGTCGGACTTTTAAGATGAAGAAGAATGCAACAGTTTTTCTTTTTCTTTTGAGTTCAAAACCAGCTGAGGTAAGATGAACTCTTGCTTTATGAGCATGTTGTAGACTTACTGTAAACTTACTGCTTTATTAAAATAATTGATGTTATGGGGCACCAATTGTAAAGTTGCGCACACTACAAATAACAACAACATTTCTCCACATTTAGCCCTAAAACATTACTTTTTATTCACATTTAGAGAAATATTTGTGAACTTTGTCATATTTTGTGAATAAAAATGTAAGATAATTTCATTGGCAAATATAAATGTTAAATATTATATCTAAATGTTGAATGTTTTATCTCAATGTTAAAAATACATGTCCTGATTCTAAATATTTAGCTATGTTTCTAAACATTTAGCAACGACTTCTAAATATTTAGCTTTGATCCTATATATTTAGCTAAGATTGTAAATATTTATAAACAAAGCTAAATATATAGAATATAAACAAAATATTTAGCAACGACTTCTAAATATTTAGCTAAGACTCTAAATATTGAGCTTTGATTTCTAAATATTTAGCTTTGATCTCTAAATATTTAGCAACGATTTCTAAATATTTAGCTAATATGCAAATTCACTCTACCGCCCAGTGCTTTGAAAACCCTGAATTGCGGCCAAAACGGCCCTTCTAATTTGTTCAACATTATCAAAATCCCGCCAGTCTCCTGTAGGAGACAATGGTTGGATCGCTTCCTCAAACTTTTATTTTGGTGCTTCCGGTGGGCGGTAGAGTGAATTTGCATATTAGCTAAATATTAAGTAAGTAAGGTCTTTTACCTGCTTTTTGTAACATAACAATGAGTAAGGTATTTTTACCTGCTCTTTTGTAATGTTAACAGACAAAGAGTAAGGTATTTTACCTGCTTTTTGTAAAGTGTCTTGAGATAACACTTGTTATGAGTTGACGCTATACAAAATAAATTGAATTGAATCGAATTGAAATTGGCCCTTTCCTGACTACCTTCTGCCTGATTTCCTTTCACCTTGAAGCCGGTTATGGTTTTCATACCGTGCCACACATCCCTTATGTTGTTCTGCTGGAGCTTGCTCTCCAGCTTCCTCCTGTATGCCTCCTTGTTTTCTCTCAGCCTCACCCTCAACTCCCTCTGTACACTCTTCAGCAACTCACTGTCACCGTCCCTGAATGCCTTCTTTTAGGATCAAAGCTAAATATTTAGAATGTGATCTAAATGTTTAGAAACGTAGCTAAATATTTAGAATCAGGACATGTATTTTTAACATTTATATATAACATTTAACATTTAGATAAAACATTCAACATTTAGATATAATATTTAACATTTTGATTTGCCAATAAAATTATGTTACATTTTTATTCACAAAAGTAAATATGACAGTTCACAAATATTTCTCTAAATGAGAATAAAAAGTGAATTTTTTAAATTTTTTGGGGCTTTTTGTGCATCTCTCATCCATCTGTATTATTGTATTATAGTATGTTCATATTCTTTAAATTATCTGTAAACTTGTATAACATGCTCACTGCATCTTAATCTGTATATTATTAGTATAACATGCTCACTGCATCTTAATCTGTATATTATTAGTATAGCATGCTCACTGCATCTTAATCTGTATATTATTAGTATAGCATGCTCACTGCATCTTAATCTGTATATTATTAGTATAGCATGCTCACTGCATCTTAATCTGTATATTATTATTATAGCATGCTCACTGCATCTTAATCTGTATATTATTAGTATAGCATGCTCACTGCACCTTAATCTGTATATTATTAGTATAGCATGCTCACTGCATCTTAATCTGTATATCATAATCCTAAGAACACACTTATTTTGTAGCATTACTTATTTATAGCATTTATTTATATTTATTGCATCCCATTAATCCAGCCATCCAGATATACCTCATAATTCACTTTTTTTTTGTCTACATCTGTAAATTTTGCAATTACTGTACATAGCACAGAATTACTGTACATAGCACAGACTCTTGCACTCAATTACTGTACATAGCACAGACTCTTGCACTCAATTACTGTACATAGCACAGACTCTTGCACTTTCTGCTTATTTGCACTTCTGGTGAGATGCCAAACCTCATTTTGTTACTCTATACTTGTATATGTGCAATGACAATAAAGTTGAGTCTCATCTCATCTCATCTCATCTTAATGGAGAGATAGGACAGTGGATAGAGTTGGAAATTAGGGAGAGAGTAGGGAATGACATGCGTGAAGGGAGCCACAGGCTGGATGCGAACCTGGGCCGCCCGCTTGGAAGGCTAATAGCCTCCATACATGGGGCGCGCGCACTAACCTCTGCGCCACCAGCACCCTTGATGTCGCTCATAATTAAGGGATTCATTTAAGCAGTCTCCTTGTTCAAAGTGGTAGGAAGTTTTTAAATCTTTTGTGTGTGCCACATGGCCTCTTTTGTCTGACGGCTGAGAAGCTCAATTTGAAATGAGTTTTTATTTCATTTTATTTGCATTCATGTCTTTTTGTGTATTTTAACATGAAGGCGTAATAAAGCTTAAATCTGAGCCGAGCTCCCAGACGATCGGGATTCATTTGGATCTCCAAACATCCAACAACTGATCGTGAAAGTGAGTTTCGTTTGCTGCTCTGCAAGGAAAAATACAAAGAGACAGGCATGGCCCAATTCAGGGCTTGTCGCAGATATGTCCAAATAATAATATGTCCAAGTGTGTGCCACTATGATTATTTGACTGCTCCCTGTTCAGGATGTTGTGTATTTTTTGCATTTTGCACACATGGCATTAAGCACCTTTACCGTCTTCTCGGCCAGAATTTCATCCAGATTCTTTTTCTCGTTTTTTTATTTGGATCGTCCCCCGTTTTTGTTCTTCTTCTGTATTGTGTAATTATATTTAAATATCTCATATTCTGCTTGATTTATAGACAATATTGTTAACAAGAAGCATTAATTTACCTCCTTTTTTAAATCTTCTTTTTTTACAATAGACAGTGACTATAATGATGAGGATAATGATGAGGATGATGATGAGGATGATGATGAAGATATACATCCTTGACACCAAACCTGGAGTGTCTTTGAAGTCTGAAAAATCAAATCAGAATGAATAACTCAAATTCGATCGATGGTACACAGAGCAGGCTCTTTTCATTCAGTATTTGAATAATTATTAAAGTAAAACATAAAATAACAAAACACTAAAAACTTTACAAGTCAGACTTGTTGGTTCAATGTTTTCTGACCCATGAGATGAACGAAACGTCGTGATGGTTAATTTGAAACACTTGTTTCTTTACCTGAGTCTGTCGATTGTGTTGAGTTTAAAGTTGTCGTTAAAGTTGTTTCTTGTGTCTTCCATCCTTTTAGTTTGTGGGGAAAAAGAAAACATAGATTTTGTAATATTTTAATTAAAGACTAGATTCACATTTTCACGTTGCAGTCAAACACTTCAATCAAAATATATCACAGAACAGTTTGACCACTTTGAAAAATGTATCTAAGAATCTAATCAGGCTTTACTGTTTTAATTCAACAACAGTGTGACTAAACCTGTGTGGATGTAATTTGATAGTTTCTTTATGCTGATGCTTTTGAAAAATGGAGAGAGGTTAGAACGCAGAAAGGTTTACAGACCGATGCAGAGTTGGCTAAACACTGAAGCTTCAGTGTCCATCACATGGCAACCTGCCAGGAGGGGGCGGGGGGAGACAGCTCTCTACAATGTTTTTAGTTTGGACTGCAGTACTCATTTTAAACAAGGTGCCAGAGTTACATACTGCTCCTTTAAGGACGAGTAGTACATCAACTAAAGTAGCTTTGATAAGTCTTCATTTTCTGATTTCTAAAATGTAATCTTGACTCAAGAAGGTTATGAAAGAATTCTTAAATAAAACTTTTTTTAATGACAATATTACAATCAGGGTCAACTTACTCTTATTGTCCTCATCTGTGGATTTGTTCTTGGACTTTTGTTGCTTTGTCGTTGCCATGTTACTGTTTGCCGTTGTTGTTAATGGAACAGTTGTTGCTGCTGCTGTTTGTCTTGTAGGTGGTTTAGTGATTTTAGCCTTGTGACCTTCAGTGTTAAACAGAAAACAGTTATAATACAAGAAACAGAAAAGAACTCTCGCTCAGAGGATCACGGGCTGAACGTGAGAAATGAAAAAAAGCTGCGGTCTTTTTTTTTTTTTTAGATGTGTCAAATATAAAGTTTTCTCACGACTTGGACCGGTTGAATGAAGAGGCTAGTGTAATAATAATAATACTACAGAAAAATGCACATCAAATCAACTTGATGCCAAGAGCTCAGCTACACATCGGCTGGAGTTTTCTAAGAAATCTACACTTTAATAGTTTGCTCGTTGCTACTGTTTGTCTTGTAGGTGGTTTTGTGGGTTCAGCCTCGTTCCCTTCAGTGTTAAACAGAAAATAATGTGTGTCTTTATATATCGGCCGATATTAGTATATCGCTTGACTATGGTGTAGCAGACAGGGTGCAGTTTGCATCCAGCTGCACAGCAGAGGGCTGTGAGGAAGGAGTGTGGCCTAGGAGAGGCAAATTGATGATTGTTTGCACCTGAGAGGGAGAGTGTGTGTGAGAGGAGACAGAGGATTGCTGCACAGTAGAGTGTTGGACACCTGGAGAAGGAGGGTTCAGGCTGCTTGCAATGTTCTTGGATGCCAAACAAATAAAGGAGAGGAGCGTTCATAAAAACCTAGAGTGGGCAGATTGTTTTGCCTTCTTTGCTCTGGAGGTATGGACTGGAGCTTCGTAAATGATCAGGCAGTTATGAAATTATCATTGGAGTGGTAATACTGCAACCCCTCTCAGGAACCAAAACCTGGACAGGTGATATCGTCTCACTCTCTCTCTGTGTTACCTCACCTCAAGACTTCCCCTGCTTCTGGTCTCCAATCTCTCCTTCCCCCCAGCCCAAACAGCCGCTCACACACCTTCACACACACACACCCTCAACCCCTCTCTTTCTTTAATATTCATATTTTTTATGAGAACATTGGACTGGTTTAAATCTTTGTTTTTGATGAACTTGAAATATGAAATATTTCTGTTGTCCTGAATGTATGTTCAATGTATAAATGAACTTTGATTTAATTGTATTTCGTAGCGTGGTTTTGTGTTGAATTTAGGTGGGAATACGTGCTATTCACCCTGAGACTTTTTTGACAGACTCCTGCTCGATTTCAGTTACGCTACAATGGGCATCGGCTAATTGTATCTCAGACATGCGCCGATATTCCAGATATCTTCAAGAGTCAAAAAGCATTTCATTTGAGTATCTTTGTGTTACACTAGCAGTTCTCTGTCACTAGCAGAGGGCGCTATATGGATTACAAAAAGCATCATCACTCTTGAGCGGTGATGCACGTACATGAACAGATACTTTCCAGTTTAGTGACCATCTTGTCTTAATTATTAATCTTTTCTACAAGTGTTTGATAACTGCATTTGTGGGGTCAACTCAAAAAATGTGTTATCTATATCTATCTCTAAACAAATCAACAAAGATATCTGTCGATAGATCGGTATCAGACTTTTTTTTTTTTTAAAAGGGTCAGAGGTCTGATCAAGAGGAAGCTTAAATGGAGTTAAAAAAAAAACAATATCGGTGAGTCTGGGGAAGTCAAACAGGATAAATATGAGAGGTATCAATGTCCTCATATCTCTAAATATCTGTGACAAAAAGGTGAAAAGGTAGATTACTAAGAATCTGTCTGACTTCTTTTAAATAACTTCTCTTAACTTCTTCCCTGATGATGTGTTCCTCTCACCTCTGTCAGACGCATCATCTCTGATCACGTTCAAGTACGCAGCAGGTTTTCCACCGCAGTAGTAAAGTCCAGAGTCAGCAGCATTCACTTTTTTTATTGTCAACGTCTTTTTAGCTTTTGAAACATTAAACCGTCTTTGTTGTTGTATGTCTACAACGTCTGTCCACCATCCGTGATCGTCTGAAACATCAGGACATTTCAGAGTGACCCTGGTCCTCTCTATCGCCTTGAGAACGACTGTTCCTGTGCAGAGGAAACAAAACAGGTTTTATTATGAGCTACGATTAATGCATCACGCAGAGTGAAGTCAGAGGATTCTAAACTGTCATTAAATAAAGACTAACAAAGGTAAAAAATATATTTTTTAAATAACTGGAAAGAAAAATCAAACCCAATTTTTTTTTTAAATGAAAATGCACAGTTCTTTCAAATTACTGAAGTGTGTCTGTGATACATGTTAAACTAAACTCGAGAAATCGAGTCATGTTGAAAAGTTTTTTATTAAAGTTCGATGTTACCTGGTGGGATCACCGTCAGATCCACAGCTGCTTCATCGTTACACAAATATCTTCCATCGTCTGAGAAGTTTACTCTTCGTATCACTAGAGATTTATCTTCTAATGAACTGTAATATTTATATGGGTCTGAAATGTGTTTTGTATCCTTTTCACCCTCAACTGTCATTAAGTCAGTTTTGTTTCCATTCTTCTCTCTGCTCCACTTCACTTTATCCACAGGGTGAGGACAGGGTAAAGTGATTGGATTCTTCTGCTCGACTATTTTATGGATGATTGCTGCAACAGAAACACAACGTTAGATACAAAGACTCGGCTGTCAGGATGTCTGTATTCTTAAAATTGCAAGCAACTAAAATGTGGTTTGAAACCAGTTTCAGAATCACATTTAACTTTCTCTTCATCAAACGCGTCTTTGTGTCATGAACCTCCAACATTAAATCCACCAGACTTCACATGCAGAGGAGGATCATCTTAATGATGCAGCATCAGGTTTAAACACGCACGTTCACGTTTAATGCACGTCCATTGGTGTTTTGACAGACAGTAAGAAAAAACAGCTCAGCCTCTAGGGACTTGGATTGGCGAACCAGAGAGTCGCTGGTTCAAGTCCCGGTGCAGACAGTGGCTGTATCCGAATTGCCAAGTACCTACTCAATCTTTCAGTAGGCAGTAGGCAGTACCTACTATCCGTGCTGTGTACTGTTTAGTACAGGGGTCTCAAACTCAAACTGGCATGGGGCCACTGGGAGTACTGTCGACTTAAAGGAGGGCCACTACAAAGTTCAAGCACCACAAAAAGGACTTTATTTTTGCAAATGTACTTTTTGTTTCCGCAAAAGTTTGTCACACATCACTAATACAAACAGCAGTTTATATACATTTTTCAAAACATCTGCTTTCATTTAGTCGTGCAAGTCTTTTGTGTTTGCTTTATAACTTAAATAACTTAATCAAATAATAAATAAAACCTGCACTGAACCAAAAAATGCAGTTACTCAAAATACCAATACATTAATCCTGCATTCTATTTCTTGCCAGACACCTGGCAGCGCTTCTGCTCACACAGATGAGCCACATTTACCTTGACGGAGGTCACAGTTGAAACCCTGAGTACAGCTTCAAGTTGTGCATTACTAAGCCTGGACCTGTACTTGCATTTATTAAACTTCATTGTCGAGAAAAGTTTCTCACACAGATATGTGCTTTCAAAAAGGCACATTACACGACTGAACAATTTGGATAGCTCTGGGAAGGATGCAGGTAATTCTCTTAGAAACTGTCCAGTCAGGTCTGCCTTCCCCTATACCTCTCTGAATTTATTTTTCAGTTCACTGTTACACTGCAGGTCAACAAGTTCCATTTGCAACACACTTGGGACACTCTCAACATCAGCTGAAAGTGCTAAACTTTAGTACCTACTGTTCAGTAGGCGCGCACAGTAGGCAGATATTTGTTCCTACTTCATCTGATTCATTCAGTATGGAAGTGACGTCATTTATGTTACCCGAACCGGCCGCATTCACCCTTTTTTTTTAATTTATTTTTTTTAGAGTAATGCGCATATACAGTCAGGTAAACAAAAAACAACATCACAAGTCAGACAGACGCATTTAAATAGTGAAATCATTATTTAAATAGAGGGGGAAAGGTTTTATAATAATGCAGATATTTGTTATATTTTCTGTTGTTAATTAAAAGTAGCGATTTCAGTCAGGACTTTAACTCTAGATTAAAAATTTATTCAAGTAATCCACGCTCGTTTGTTTTGATTTGGAGGCGGACGTGACGATTTACGTTTAATTTCACACAGCATTGTGGGTGGTAAAATACAATTCATTTCCTGAAAGCACGCATCCGATCCATACTGCATGAAATCCGGAAGTTAGTATCCATACTGAAATGTTCAGTATACTGAGGTGGACCCAAAAAATGCATAGTGAATGACCACGAAAGTTCAGTATACTGAAACTCCCTACTGAAAAGTACGTACTGCCGACTGAACTGTGACAATTCGGAAAGGGCCCTAGTCTGGAAGTTGGTCTGGTAGCTGGAGAGGTGTCAGATCACTTCCTGAGTACTGCCGATGTGACCTTGAGCAAGGCACCAAACCCCCGCCCCACCAGCTCAGGAGCGCTTGCCATCAGTGCATCCACAGGATCGTGTGTGTGTGTGTGTGGAGCATGTTCAACAACACAGCGTCAAATGTAATCTCCCTCTAATAATTAATGGAGGATATCTTCTTCATCTTCATACTAAAGAAATCAATGCACTAATCATGTATAAAATCAACAACCAACAACCCAAACTGATGAGAATAACACATTAAAAAATATTCCACATTTATGTAAATATTACGGTGTAGGTACGTTACCACTGAATCTATCCGGGCTGTTTTTTTACTTCCTGAAGTAACCTTTCTCACGCTTACATCAGCGGCTCAATTCCTCATGAAAGTTTGATTCACATTTCAGATTCATTTCAACTCAGAAAATTCTACACAAAAGTCTACACAACACGCTTCCAAGTAATGGTGAGAAACAGGGCAGTCTTACCTGCAGTGAGGTTACAGCTCAGGAGGAAGGCAAACAGGCAGCAGCTGATGATCACCTTCATCTTCGCACTGACTTCTGTCACAAAGTGAGCACAGTTTCTCTTAGAAGAGAACAGGAACTCGACCGTCTACGTGTCAGCGGGTGTGTGTTCCTCTACCCTAAACACCCACATTGGTAAGTTATAAGAGTGAGTCTGTGACTGTTTCAATCTGTGG